AGAGAGAGAGAGAGAGAGAGAGAGAGAGAGAGAGAGAGAGAGAGAGAAATGGCTACCTTGAGTTTGCCACCCACTGCTGATATGGAAGAGAAATTGAAGTTTAATTCAGATGGAAAGAGTCAGCAAAAGTTCTCTTGAATGGGAACATGGCTTGTTTCCAAGCTCTACCATCAGAGTTCAGTGGAAGAAAATATCTGCACTGTTGAAAGATGAGGTTGTTATGGAAACACAAGGGTGTGGTGTGGTGAGAAATTCCATCTGGAAATTCCTTTAATGCTTTTCTTTCACCACTTTGGAAAAACAGTAATTTTTGAAGGGTAAAATATATAAAAAAAACATACACATGTTTATGAAGTGTTTTCACCCTAAACCAGGTGTATTTTTATCTATAAATGTATTACACTCACATTCTTCTCCTTTTTCCATCTCCTGGGGTTCCCTAATGTTGAGATAATACCAGGGGTGGGCTTCAAAAATTTTAGCAAGGGGTTCTCTGCCTGGTTGCTGGGTGGGCGTGGCCATGGTGGGCGTGACCTAATCAGCCTCCTGCACCATGGCGGGAGGGGGCATTTTTGCCCTCCCCGGGCTCCAGAGGCTTTCCTCGAACCTCCGGGTAGGGCAAAAACGGTTTCCTCAGGCTCCAGAGGCCCTCTGGAGGCTGGAAATGGACTCCTGGGAGGGGAGGGGTGGGGTAGATAGGGCCAGCCAGGAGTGGGATTTGGGGGTTCTCTGAACTGCAGAGAATCTTAGCTAGAGGTTCTCCCGAACCCCTGCAAGCCCCCAGTAGCCCACCCCTAGATAATACCCCTAAAAAATCATAATTAAAACTGACTTTCCTTGGTCTTTCATAGAATTTAAGAAAACTCTGGAAGAAGCCATTAGAAGTGACACATCTGGGCATTTCCAGAGACTTTTAATCTCACTCTCTCAGGTATGTAGATGATTATTAAATATCATTTTTATGATTGCTTAATGTCATCTTGACAGATGTATATCTTGACAAACTCATGGACTAGAAATTTGGATCTAACTTCTAACAAGAGTTAAGAGCTGAATACATTTTAGCTACATGAAGGGACATACGAGGGTAAACGGTATTCCTGATTTTGTAGCCAGCATTAGCTAAAGCAATTCTGAACGTGGCTTGTTTCAGTAAACCAGAACTTAAACCAAGTGAAGTTCTGATGAATGAATGAATGAATGAATGAATGAATGATAGATGTTTTGACGAAATCAAGAAACAATCTGATTGAGACTTGAACCATTGTGGAGCCCTTGGTGCTCTCTGATTTTGACTGTTTTCTTGCAGACATTTCATGACCCAGCTAGGTAACAGCATCAGTAGATAAGTAATGAAACATCTGCAAGAAAACACAAAAGATCAGAGAGCACCAAGGGCTCCACAATTCAACTCTGAGCTACAGATAGTCCTTTCTATTGGTACTCCATTGGTCTACTTTATTGGTATGGAGCCTCGGTGGCGCAGTGGTTAGACTGCAGTACTGCAGGTTACTTCTGCTGCTTGCTGGCTGGCTGCAATTTGGCAGTTCAAATCTCACCAGGCTCAAGGTTGACTCAGCCATCCATCCTTCTGAGGTGGGTAAAATGAGGACCCAAATCATTGGGGGCAAGAGGCTGACTCTGTAAACCGCTTAGAGAGGGCTGTAAAGCACTGTGAAATGGTATATAAGTCTAAGTGCTGATTGCTATTGCTACTCAACTCATATTCATAATCCTAATCCAAGGATTGATCAAAGCAAATGGTAAAGCTTCCTTGACCTTCACTGACCCCAGGGGTGGGTTCTACTTACCTTTACTATCGGTTTGCAATGATAGTAGCTTCTGCGCATGCGCAGATTGCTTCTGATGATATCAGGGTCAGTGGGCAGAGCCTCCTGCCGGTTTTACTACCGGTTCTATAGAACCGGTCCGAACCGGGGGCAACCCATCACTGATTGACCCTGAGAAAAGCCAAGCAAAGAAGGACCTGCTAGTAAAAATATCCCAGAAAACAATCTTGATTCTGATTTTCAGCCACAAAAAATTATAAGTATGGGTCTGTGTAGAAATTAAGCTTTACTTGAAGGAACCTCCCTCAATCTTGGATCTGTAATCCATCAATTATTTGCATTTCAGTTAAATTTTATTGTGAGATTCTGGTATCCTGAAATCATATCTCTTGAAAACTTTGCATGACTTCCCTCTCTCCTTTTTGATCCAATAAGATTTGAGAATTGAACAGAAGACGTTGATTGTATAATGCAAAAAAAGAAAAGCAGGGGTGGGCTGCTACAGGTTTGCCTGAGTTTGGGAGAACCTGTAGCTAACGTTATGGCCGGTTTGGAGAAGCTCCAAATCCCACCACTGGCTGGCCCCGCCTCACCTGCCTCACCCCACCCCACCCCACCCCTCCCACCCACCCTGCCCCTCCCAGGAGTCTCCACTTGGCCCATTTTGGATGTGAGGTAAGTGCAGGGCCCGCATGGAGGCTCAGAGATGGGGAAAAACAGGCTTCCTGGAAGCTCCAGAGCCTGGAGGAGGCAGTTTTCATCCTCCAAGAGGCTCGAGGAAAGCCTCCTGAGCCTGGGGAAGGTGAAAACGCCCTTCCCCACCCGCCATGGTGCAGGAGGCTGACTAGGCCACGCCCACCCAGCAACCGGGCAGAGAACCCGTTGCTGAAATTTTTGAAGCCCACCCCTGAAGAAAAGGTCTTTTCAACATTTCACTGTATAATGATGGGATCACCAAAGAAACACATACTGTGGATAATATTCTGGCAGTGTAAACCCATTGGCTTAACCAGCAGCCTCAGCAAAGGTATTCTAAGGGTGTATGTACGTACAGTGTATGTGCTTAAAATTGTACTTTATGTCTTAATATGAGCCGTTTTGAAAACTTTTTCTAGGGCAACCGAGATGAAAGCACCAATGTGGACATGGCCCTTGTCCAGAGCGATGTTCAGGTTAGTATACCGCTGATGTACACTTCTCACGTACATTTTAAAAAGATTTGCAGAATTAAAATTGCTGACACTGAGAGGAACATTCCTTTTTTTATTAAAAAAACCCCAAGAAGTTTCTTTTTACACTGAATATTTCTGCCTTTAATGAAATATAAAACCGGTTTTATACAACCCCTCCTAAACCGAGGTGTTATTCAGCAGGTTCTGACAGGTTCTGGAGAACCGGTAGCGGAAATTTTGAGTAGTTCGGAGAACCGGCAAATACCACCTCTGGCTGGGCCCAGAGTGGGGTGGGAATGGAGATTTTGCAGTATCCTTCCCCTGCCACGCCCACCAAGCCATGCCCACAGAACCGGTAGTAAAAATAATTGACTTTCATCACTGCTCCTAAGTATAACTTGATATTTAATTGATCTATTACAGTGATGGCTAACCTTTTTGTGCAACTGCATGCGTGCTTGCACCCATAATGCAATGTATGTGCCCCCCCAATGCCCCTGCCCCCCCATGCATGCACGTTTGGCCCCTCTGTGCTCTCCCCGCCCCCCGTGCATGCATGTGCGACCCCCTGCCCCACTTTGTTTTGGGCCTAGCAGGCCTCCCTGCAGCCTCCTGGGACCAAAAATGGGCCCATTTTTAGTCCCAGGAGGCTGAAGGGAGGCCTGCTAGGCCCCACCCCTGCATGCGCATGCGACCCCACCTGGGCATGCGCATGTTTCTCCCACATGCGACCCCCCCGCGCATGCACGGCAGAGAGCCGAAAATCAGCTGGACAGTGGGAGGCGCACGCGCATGTGGTGTGAAGCTGAGCTGGGCGATGGCTTGCGTGCCCGCAGAGAGGGCTCCATGTGCCACCTGTGGCACGCATGCCATAGGTTCGCCATCACAGATCTATTATTTCCTTGTCCACCAATTCTTGCTTTTCTAAAAGGTTTCACCCTTTTCTCTTGAGTTCATTTATCTGATCTAGAGACCATCAAAATCATAATTAGGCAGCAGGTGAAAATATTTATAAAGAGCTTTGTATAAGTATAAAATATTTATAAAGGGGCCACATTATTCTACGAAGCACCAGAGGGCAGGACAAGAAACAATGGTTGGAAACTAATCAAAGAGAGAAGCAACTTGGAATTAAGGAGAAATTTTCTTTTCTTTTTTTTTCCAAAAAAGTTTTTATTTTTATTTCTCATAAACACATTTACATGTACAGTTATTTATCCATCATTTTTCATCTTATCTTTTAACTTTCATTTTTCATTTTTACTTTTTCGAGCCTGCTCTTTTACCATTTACCTTTACCCCAAACTTTCTTCTTCTCCTCCCCTTCTCTTCCCTTCTCTTTCTCCTCCTACTTTCTTCATTCTTCCTCTCCTTCTCTTTCCTACTTCCTCTTCCCTTCCCCCACTCCTCTTCTAACCTTCTCTTCTGCTCCTCTTTCCCCTCCCTTTTCTTCCTCTCCTTTTCCCTTTCTTCTTTCTCTTCCTCTCCTCTCCTCTCTTCTCCCTTCCTCTCTCTCTACTCCTTCCCCTCTCTCTTGTTGTTTCCCTTTTCAGTTCAATCTAAATGGTATTCAAGCAGCCCCGATTTTCTATTTATCTTTATTCTCATTTCAATTTCTTATTTAATTAATATTTATTTTTATTTCATCATTTATGTACATTTTTATACTATCTCACTTTTTTCCTTTTTAACCTCTCCCTCCCCTTTCTCCTTTTACTTGGCATCATCCGGGTATCTATTTTTCTAATTGTTTTCTCCCATCTGTTCTTTATCTATTTTATCTCTATACCTTTATTCATATTTCCTTTCTAACCAATCATAAAATTTATCCCATGTCTTGAAATAAATTGACTCCTCTTTATCTTTTATTCTCAATGTTAATCTATTCATTTCTGCACATTCTAAAATTGTATTTGCACAAAATTGGAAAGCAGATAAAATCCCATTGGTAGGAGAAATTTTCTAATAGTGAGGACAATTAACCAGTAGAATAGCTTGCCTCCAGAAATCATGCACGCTCCATCACTGGTTTTTAAGGTTTTTACCAAAGAGGTTTTTAAGAAGAGATTAGACAGTCACTTATCTGAAATAGTATAGGTTCTCTTGTTTGATCAGGGGGCTGGACTAGAAGACCTCCAAGGTCCCTTCCAGTTCTATTCTATTCAAGCTGTAGACCTTCTATAAACAGGTAACATTGGAATGCAAACTTTACTGATATTATGGAGGAAGAAAAATGGAAATGTAACACTGATCTTGTTTGGTTTTGCCATTCATCTATTGTGAGGTACAGCCCAGGTTTGCTATCAGGGTACTTCCATTTTTCATGGCCAAAGCTGTTCCAGTGAACAGTTCCAGGAATTAAGCTTTAATCTCAAAATTTCAGGAGAACAAAAGAATGAGCGTGTCAGGTTTCCAAGTGATGAAACTCATTCAAAAAAGAAATAGGCAAAGTCCATCTTCCAAAACAAGTTTCTTTTATTTAGGTAGGCATCACATTGGCAAAGACTGTTGTAATTCCGGATCTGACACAAACCGGAATTACACCACCTAATATTGAAAATTAGAAACATCCCACAAACCCCAATAAAAGCAAAATCAACATTGCTCAATGTCATCAAACTCCACCTTCAACTCTCAGCAAAGACAACCTCCGTTCCCACGGGAAAGAAGATCACCTAGCCAAAACAATGCTCACTATCTATTCCTTTCTCCCACCTTAAGAATTTGGCGAGCCTGAAAAAAAAAACCTTACAAAACAGAGAGAAAGAGAAGGAATAAATGAGTATAATATAAAGCTAACTAAAATGGCTACACATATGTCAATTTCGGGTTCGACAGAGCGATTAAGAAGAGCAATTAACTAGGTTGGGATCATGAGATAACCCAATGCTTTACCCCTTTTAGGCTCTCTATGCAGCAGGAGAAAATAAACTCGGGACGGACGAATCCAAGTTCAACGCGATTTTGTGCACAAGAAACCGAAATCACCTAAGAGCAGGTAGGTTGCTCAGTCTCTTAAGTCGTGCAGCAAGTCAAGGCGACATCCAGAGTTGGATGGGGTTCCTTCCGTATCAACATTTTACCATTTTAAAATAGCCCCCCCTTTTTTTTTTCTTGTGGAAGGACTTATTTTTAGCAAGGAAGTTTTTGATAGCTTGGTTGCATTGATTAGAAATTGGCAGCCAGCTTTGAGAAGATACAACAGGAAGGGGACACATTGGTGGAGAAATGACCTCAGTTGAGGTGCACCAGCTGAAATTCCCCCCCCCCTTTCTACAGATTTAATAGAAATATGGGGAGAAGTGGATTTGTCCTCCTTTGTGATTTGTCATCCTGTTAGGTTCTTTTTTTATGATTTCATGCTTGTTTGCAGTTCTCATTGCTTTTCAAGAGCTTATGAACCTGGAATACTGATAATGACGTTAGCTATTCAGAATAGCTAATGCTAAACCCACCTCTTTTGAGATGGGCTAATATAGGCTTCTCAAAAAAAAATATCTAAATTATAAAGGCTAGAAGACAAAAATGGCAAGTATGAAGTTGAACAAAATTTCTCCGTATTTCTAGCTTGAATCTCTCCTTGAGCAGTTTCCATCCATTGTTCCTTGACTGGCTTTCGGATGCCTTGGCAAATAGCTTGACCCCTTCCTCTCTGTGGCAGCCCCCCCCCCCCCAAATATTGGAACACTGCTATTATGTTTCCCCTGCCCCTTCTCTTCACTAGACTACCCATGCCCAGTTCCTGCAATCATTCTTCATGTGTTTTAGCCTCCAGGCCCCTAATCATCTTGGTCTTATTAAGGCTTTATAAAGTGGTATTAGTACCTCACTTGATCTTGGTTGAATCCCTCTGTTAATGCAATTTAGGATTGCACTGGCTTTTTTGGCTGCCCTTTGAAAGATGCCACTTCCTGCATCACAGAGTTACAGGGCATTTATTTAATGCGGTCCTCTCTATTGTCAAAATCCATTCTTGTGTTTTCTGTGGATAGTGGTTATTTACCCTTAAACTGAAACTTTAACACAATTCAGTACATTTCTATTCAGAAGTAGGTTCACTCTAAGTTCCATAGGATTTACTCCCAGGTAAACGTGAACAGGTTTGTAGCCAAAATGCTTTCACGTAGAACAAACATGTAGGGCCTGGTGGCTCAGCAGACTAAAAGCATTGTGATTAACACCAGCTGTCTGCAATTACTGTAAGTTCAAATCTCACCAGGCTCAAGGTTGACTCAGCCTTCCATCCTTTCTAAGGTAGGTTAAATGAGGACCCAGTTTGTGGGGGCAATAAGCTGACTTTGTATAAATATACAAAAGTATGAAGGCTATTGCTTAACGCATTGTAAGCCGCCCTGAGTCTCCGGAGAAGGGCGGCATATAAATCAAATTTTTTTAAAAAATAATATTGTCATTTTTTATTTATTTATTTATTTTTGTCTCTTTCTGCAGTTTTCAATGAATACCAGCGAATGTGCAACCGGGATATTGAGAAGAGCATATGCAGAGAAATGTCTGGTGATCTTGAATCTGGGATGCTGGCAGTAGGTGAGTGATTTCTTGGTGGCCAGGACAAACCATCTGTTGGTACGGTACTTATTGATAATTTCCTTACTTTTCATAACCTTGCCCAGGCAATTATTGTGCTATTCCCTTGATAGGGGAAATTCCAATAAATGAAATATTTATAGCTCAGAATTGAACTGGGTGCTCTCTGAGTTTGGTTGTCTTGCGGATATTTCATTACTCAACTAGGAAACATCATCAGTGGTAGAAGATAGTGGGGTTTGATTTCTAGAGCAGATTCCACTTCCTTCTAGCACTGATAGTTGCATAATGAAATATCTGTTGGGAAACCACCAAGCTCAGAAAGTACCAAGGATCCCACAGTCCTCATTTTCTTCCTCCTTTACTCTTCCTCCTCCCCCCTTCTAGCACTGATGATGTTACCTAGTTGGGTAATGAAACATCTGCTGGGAAACCGCCAAGCTCAGAGAGTACCAAGGACCCCACAGTCCTCCTCCTTCCCCTCTTCCTCCTCCTCCCTTCTAGCACTGATGATGTTATCTAGCTGGGTAATTGAGATGTCTGCAAGAAAACAACCAAGCTCAGAAAGCAGCAAGGACCCCAGAGAGCAGAGCTTCCCAAGCTCTGGGCTGCAGCCCATTCAAAACTGGGCTGTACAAGCAGCAAGCGAGCATGTGCGTACAGCTCCATTTGCGTGAATAGTGGGCACTCGCACACAGACTTGCCGCTCACACGGAATAATTCCCCCTATCCTCTACTGGTCCTCAGAGGCAGAAAGATTGGGGACCCCTGCCATAGGGGAAGCTCCTGAGAACTCAGTGTTCGCAATAGCAATAGCACTTAGACTTATATACCGCTTTACAGTGCTTTACAGCCCTCTCTAAGCAGTTTTACAGAGTCAGCCTATTGCCCCCAACAATTTGGGTCCTCATTTTACCCACCTCGGAAGGACAGAAGGCTGAGTCAACCTTGAGCCAGTGGGATTTGAACTGCCAAATTGCAGGCAGCCGGCAGAAGTAGTCTGCACTACTGCACTCTAACCACTGCGCCACCGAGGCAATAATGTTTTTTTTTTATTGAAAAAGTTTTACAAATATCAATTTTTTCCCCATTTCCCCCCCATCCCTCCCTAACCCCCCCAAGCCCTCCCCTCTCCCCGTGACTTCCCCAAGGTGAAATCCATGCACATTATATTATATCATACTTTACCACCCCTCTATTCTCCCCCCTGTGCACTATACATTTCTACATAACAATAAGCTATTTTGCCCCCTATAAACTATACATTTCTACACATCGTTTAGCTAAAAGCTATCTGATACTTCCTAGTTTGGTATTTATTCTGCACATAATCTATCCATTTCTTCCACTCCCATACATAAGTCTCTTGAGTCCGGTCTTTTAAGTATGCTGATATCTTCACCATTTCTGCAAAACTGGCCATCTTCAAAGTCCATTCTTGAATTGTAGGCATATCATCCCTTTTCCAATATTGACCAATCAGTAACCTAGCTGCTGTCACCATATACAATATCAACTTTGTTTCACCCACTGAAAAACCCTTAACTATACCCAGTAAAAACAATTGAGCAATAATGTTGATTTCATTTTTCCAGTTCATTTTCCCAAAGGTGGGATTCACTTACCTTCCCTACCGGTTTGCAATTGTGAGCCTGTGCGCATACGCAGTGATCGCACATTACAGTCGCCACTACCGGTTTTCCTGAACCGGACAAAACTGGCTGAATCCAACCTCTGCATTTACCATATCGGTCTTGATAATTCTCATGTCTGACTGATAGAGTATAGGTCTTTCTTTCCTACCATCTAGGTATGAATTTTGTCTGGCGATGCTTCCACCATCTTAAGCTGAAGACAAATCAGAGAATGACTGTATTCTCTCTTGATCGTCTCCTTCCCTTCCCTTCCTATCCCTGACTTTGGCTCTCAATAGAATTCTTTATAGAATAGAATTCTTTATTGGCCAAGGGTGATTGCACACACAAGGAATTTGTCTTTGGTGCATATGCTCTCAGTGTACATAAAAGAAAAAAAATACATTCATCAAGAATCATAAGATACAACACTTAGTGATAGTCATAACTTAATAAGCAATCAAATCATACTAGGAAACAAAACAATATAAATTATAAAGATACAAGCAATATGGTTATAGTCATAAGTGGGAGGAAATAGGTACTAGGAAGGATGAGAAGAATAATAGTAATACAGTCTTAGTAAATAATTTGACAGTGTTGTGGGAATTAGTTGTTTAGCAGAGTGATGGCATTCAGGAAAAAACTGTTCTTGTGTCTAGTTGTTCTGGTGTGCAGTGCTTTATAGCGTCGTTTTGAGGGTAGAAGTTGAAACAATTTATGTCCAGGATGCGAGGGGTCTGTAAATATTTTCACAGCCCTCTTTTTGACTCGTGCAGTATATAGGTCCTCAATGGAAGGCAGATTGGTAGCCATTGTTTTTCCTGCAGTTCTAATTATCCTCTGAAGTCTGTGTCTGTCTTGTTGGGTTGCAGAACCAAACCAGACAGTTATAGAGGTGCAGATGACAGACTCAGTAATTCCTCTGTAGAACTGAATCAGCAACTCCTTGGGCAGTTTGAGCTTCCTGAGTTGGCACAGAAAGAACAAGAAGGCAGTTGCCCAAATGGAAGATGTCTGTCCTTCATTCAAAATTGTTAAATTCTATCCAGTCCAGAAAATGGATGTGTTTCAAAGACCCTTGCTCCAAAAACTACCAAGAAGTTGATTCATTATTTGCTTGCATTACACTTCCATCACTGTAGTAACCTGTTGGTTGGGTTACCCATATCCTCACACCATCTTTTGATCTGTATCCAGAATGCTGTTTTTCATACCATTCTGGACTCTTTGCACTTTATCCATATCTTCTGATACACCCAATCTTTACATTGGTTGTGTATGCATGAGAAACAACAACACTGTGTCCTGCCATTTTGGATATACGCATTTATTGCAAAGAGTTCAAGTTAGTTCAAGTATGGCTGCATTCGATTGAATTCTCTGTTCAGGATTCTGACGGGTTCTTCTGCAGGACAAACTTTATCATCATAGTTTAGAAATTTTCCTCACCTGGATTCAATTCTTTGGGACCAGAGTGGGCATCACATACTGTAACAACTGGTTTGACCAGAACTGAAAACGTGAGTGCGCGCATGCGCGTAGCATCAAAAAACCAGCAATTATATAGGACGTGATAGCACCAGGGTGAGTGGGCGGGCCCAGCTGCTGGTTGGACCTACCAGTTCGCCTGAACCGGTCTGAACCAGCAGCAGCCCACCATTGTTTGGGACCAACCTGAGCCAGAATTACACCTGAAGTCAGTTTTATTAACAGTGCTAAAATCTCTTCTTTTTCATGGTTCCCTGTAAAGCTTTTTTTTTTAAAAGAAAATGCTTATTTATTCATTTGAATGTACAGATGCTAATAATATTATATGCGATGGTCCTTTTAATGCAATTTAGTTTTTATTTTAGGTTGTGATTTGCAAATTTTAACATTATGAATAGTCCTTGACTTAGAACCACAATCATAAAAGTCATAAGTCGCCCTGCAGGGATATGGATAGCAAGCAAATTTAATAGGAAATAAACTTTTTTAAAAAAATGCTGTTAAAACTTCAAAACAAATGGTTGTAAGTCAAGAACTATCTACAATTTCTATTTTGATTCTGTGTTTGTGCTGTGCTAACCTGTAAGGTAAAAAAAGGTAAAGGTTCCCCTCGTACATCTGTGCTAGCCGTTCCCGACTCTAGGGGGCGGTCCTCATCTCCATTTCTAAGCCAAAGAGCCAGCGCTGTCCAAAGACGTCTCTGTGATTATGTGGTCGGCATGACTAAACGCCAAAGGCACACGGAACGCTGTTACCTTCCCACCGAAGTGGTCCCTATTTTTCTACTTGCATTTTTTACGTGCTTTCGAACTGCTAGGTTGGCAGGAGCTGGGACGAGTAACGGTAGCTCACCCCATTACATGGCAGTAGGGATTCGAACCGCTGATCTGCCGACTTTTTGATTGACAAGCTCAGTGTCTTAGCTACTGAGCCACTGCATCCCTTATGCTAACCTGTAGAGGCATGATAAATAAATTTGGTACCTCTATTTACTAGAGGTACTAAATTTATTTATCATGCCTCTACAGTGAAATGCCTTGAGAGATGCTTCATTGAAAATAATGTATTGAGCTTTCAGATAAAGGAGAAGTGGCATAAAACCTAATTCCTTTTTATGAACAGAAAGCATAACTAACTGCACAGGATTTGGGAGAAATTTTAGTTTTTAGTTTTTTCCTGTACTAAGGGTATTTTCTTAGTTGGCAGGAAACTTTTCCACCTTAGCAACAGTTTTCGTTTCAAATCGAGTTTAATAAGAAGTGCTTAAGTATGAAAGGGTGAATTCCAAAATCTGACGATGCCAAAACAGAAAAACATTTTAGATGTGTGAGATTTGAGAAATCATTCTTTTAAAAAAAAATGAAAACCAGAAGGTAGCCTCTGTAGATGATTGTGTCTTTTTTTGTTAAAGTTGCATAACTATAATTTTAATTTGCAGTTCAATTCCTGAGTCTTTTATCTGCCATCATGGTGTTGTTGGTAATTCTCCTTTGTATTACCTTACCTTAACTTAGGAAAATTACAGTCTAAGTACCATGAAATCAAGAAGTGTCCATCATAATGATGGCCTTAACAAAATTCCCTGTTTTCCACCTCTCATCTACAATACGGCTATAATCGTTGTGCCAGATTGGATTGATAAAATATGATACATGCAAAACATTCTTGGAGATTTAAAATATGTGATGTAAATGGTTGTATAATTAAAAGTGTTTTTCGTTGACTTTCTGCCCTGCCTACTGAATCTAATGAAAAAAATCTGTGCTTCCCTTTGGCTTCATTAAGGATTGTGTATCTGGTAATTGTAAGGAGTGACTGCATTCATTTCTAGTAATAGCTAGTGTGTAAGTTAAACTTGTGCCGTGCTCATCTCTATGACCCATCTCAACGTGATTAATGAAAAAAGAGCATGTTGTTGTGTTACGTTTGCAGTGATATTTGCTTTGGTCCTTTCCATACAGCTAACAAATAGAATCCACTAAGGGCATTTTGAGCAATCAAGATGCTACATAAAGGGGAATAACACCATTAATACCATTAAGTGGGCCATTTCCTTTGAAGTTTGCTGTGCTTTCCTAGTATGAATTTACGAAGTGTCACTAATGTGTCATCTCAATTTCCTTTGCAGTGAAGTGCATGAAAAACACACCAGCTTTCTTTGCAGAGAGGCTGCACAAGGCCATGAAGGTAACTAAGTCAGAACCCAAAACACTTTTAAAAAATGTCATGCGCTCAAATATTCAAGGGATCTAGGCTTCATTAAGAAAAAGGTGTTAGCTTGGATGTGAAATGTAGATGTAAGCTGGACTTGCAGGTTTAAGAGCAGGATAGCTACAAGTACATGTCACTGAAGCCCAGTGATAGATAGATAGATAGATAGATAGATAGATAGATAGATAGATAGATAGATAGATAGATAGATAGATTAGATAGATGATAGGTGATGGATGGATGGATGGATGATGGATGGATGGATAGATAGAAATAGATAGATAGATAGTAGATGGATGGATGGATAGACAGACACGCACGGATGGATGGATGGATGGATGGATGATAGGTGATGGATGGATGGATGGATGGATGGATGGATAGATAGATAGATAGATAGATAGATAGATAGATAGATAGATATAGATGGATAGATAGATAGATAGATAGATAGAGATAGATGGATAGATAGATAGATAGATAGATAGATAGATGGATGGATGGATGGATGAATGGATGATAGGTGATAGATGGATGGATGGATAGTTGATAGATAGATAGATAGATAGATAGATAGATAGATAGATAGATAGATGGATGGATGAGAGAGAAATGAGACAGAGAGAGAGACAGACAGACTGACATGATATATAGATTAAGGATTAAAAAACTCAAAGAAGTACAGGTAGTCCTTGACATATGACTGCCATTCAGCCTGTCTGTAAGTCACAATGGTTGTAAAATGGGTTGGTCATGTGACCATTTTTTCCAGTGGTCATTAAGCAAACCCATGGATCACTATGGGCGCACTTTTGCTGAAAACCAGAAGTAACAGATTAAATGTGCAATAGCCACAACCATGTTTTCTAGCGCCACCAAATTCAGACCCATGACCACAGAGGAGGCTCGACCATCAGAACTTTGGAACCCAGCTATAAATAGCCAAGGACTCCCTGTAAACATTTCTTATGACTTCTAAGAGATGGACAGATACTTCAATGGGGTTTCCTTAATGAAAAATCCTATTAAAAACCCAGATGTTTCTTATTATGGCTTGCAAACCTACTGGGACAGAGTAGTGTTTTAGTCTAGGTGTATCTTCCAAATACTGGTTTGGATCAGGGTGAAATCCAGCAGGATCTGTCAGGTTCTGGAGAACCGATAGCGGAAATTTTGAGTAGTTCGGAGAACCGGCAAATACCACCTCTGGTTAGCCCCAGAGTGGGGTGGGAATGGGGATTTTGCAGTATCCTTCCCCTGTCATGCCCACCAAGCCACACCATGCCCACCAAGCCACGCCCACAGAACCGGTAGTAACAAAATTTGGATTTCACCACTGGTTTGGATGTGTGACTGTATGGACTTTTTTAGTTCATGGCCAAAACCTTGGGTTGTTTAGCAGGGACATAGAGTCCCATTTGTTTTTCAATCAAATGGTACAATTTATGTGTTATGTTAAAGGCGCAAAAAATCTGAAGTGATTTATTTTGATCTGGTTTTTGTTTTAACATCTCAAAAGCCTGGCATTTTAACAGGAGTCTGTAGACTTCAGTTGGGTCATGAAACATCTGCGAGAAAACCACCAAGCTCAGAGAGAACTAAGACCCCCACAGTTCAATCCAGGAGGCAGGAAATCTTCATCTGAGAATCACACTCTGAACAGGACTGATTTAGAATAGAATAGAGCTGGAAGGGACCTTGGAGGTCTTCTAGTCCAGCCCCCTGCTCAAGTAGGAGAACCTATATACCATCTCAGACAAGCGACTGTCCAGTCTTTTCTTAAAAACCTCCAGTGATGGAGCGCCCACAATTTCTGGAGGCAAGTTGTTCCACTGGTTAATTATCCTCACTGTTAGGAAGTTTCTCCTTAGTTCTAGGTTGCTTCTCTCCTTGATTAGTTTCCATCCATTGTTTCTTGTCCTGCCCTCTTGTGCTTTGGAGAATAATTTGACCCTCTCTTCTTTGTGGCAGCCCTTCAAATACTGAAATACTGTTATTATGTCACTCCTAATTTTTCTGTCCCTTTCTGTGAACTTCTTTAGGGAGCAGGAACCAAGGACCGGACTCTTATACGCATCATGGTCTCACGTAGTGAAGTTGATCTGCTGGATATCCGGCAGGAATACAAAAGAATGTATGGAAAATCTCTCTACACGGACATCTCGGTAAGGCATTGGCAAGGGTGAAGTTTTTATTCAGGCTCTGCTCTTTGGGTGGCAGCAGTGGTGGTGGGTTTCTACTGGTTCAACCCATGGGACGCTCCGCCCACCTGGCCGGACCTCTTCACGGATGCTCCGTGCATACGGGTGCTCACATTTATTTATTTATTTATTTATTTATTTATTTATTTATTTATTTATTTATTTATTTATTTATTTATTTATTTATTTATTAGTTCGATTTGTATGCCGCCCTTCTCTGGAGACTCAGGGCTGCTTACAATGCTTTTAAGCAATAGCCTTCATACTTTTGTATATACCTGCTTAGTAGGGCTTTTTTGGCCCCCCCAAGCGGTGTTCTATTTTATACAAAGTCAGCTTATTGCCCCCATAAACCGGGTCCTCATTTTACCTACCTCGGAAGAATGGAAGGCTTCTTGAGCCTGGTGAGCCTGGTGAGAATTGAACTCACAGTAATTGCAGGCAGCTGGCAGCTAAGTGCTACTTTAACAGCAGTTTAATCCGCTGCGCCACCAAGGCTCATATTTGCGAACCGGTAGCAAAGGTAAGTGAATCCCACTTCTGGGTGGTGGCATAGAATATCAACCAATCTGTTGCTTAACTAGAAAGGCTGCCTTTTAACAATGATTACACATTGGCTTTTTTAAACACAATATGCTTAAAATGCCACGTGTTGTGTGGAACAAAGGGATTTGGGGGCTTCTGATATATAAAATTCTAACAGCTAGAAAAGATCTGGTGTTGGAATGGCAGTTCGCAAACTCTCAATTGCAAGGGTGAAATGTGGTTTGTGGGACTGATTGGATAACACACCTATATATTTATGGAATCAGCTGGTGGAGTTTCCATCAAAGTGTAGAGAACGAAAAGCAAAAATGATGATACGATTTGGGATAAAAATAAAACTGGTTGAAGGGTTTGGAGATTTGTTTGGGAATAAGGGTGAAAGGCAGAAGTATAGAATCTAAAACATAAATTATATGTATTATTGATAATAATGCTTATCATTTTTAATGCCTAAGGGGGGAAAATAAAAAAGAAACCATAAACATGAGAGTGTTTTAAAAAATGGCAAGGCTGCAGGTGTAAACGGTGTATGAATGCATTTGCTTGTGGAGTCACTGCGTGACTTGTTTAGCCTGTATATAAAACCTGTATCTGCGCCTAAAGATTTCAAGAATGTTGTCGTTCCCATCTGCAAAAGAAAAGTGTCAACATATCTAATGCTGGTATCCAATTACATCTTTCTTACCGTGCTCATATAGTCCGAAAGGTGCTTTTTCAAGAGGCAACTGGACTTCCTTTGCTTTTCCTTGAAGACGTTTCATTTTTCATCCAAGGTTCTTCAGTTCTGACTGGATGGTGGGGAATGGAAGGATTTATATTCCTTGCAGACAGCTGGTCATTTGCATCAAGGGTGCTATTCAGCGGGTTCTGACAGGTTCTGGAGAACCGGGAGCAGAAATTTTGAGTAGTTCAGAGAATCTGGCTGGCCCCAGAGTGAGATGGGAATGGAGATTTTGCAGTATCCTTCCCCGGCAACGCCCACAGAACCGGTAGTAAAAAAATTTGAATGCCACCACTGATTTGCATCCTTTTAGAGAGCCGGTGAGGCCACTTAGAGATTTATCTGTGTCCGCAGGGTCACCTGAGTGATGAAAATGGGTGTGGAGCCTTCTTGGTACTGCTGAAAGGAGCTGTGTTGTGGAGCTGTGCTTTCTGCAGGATGTTTCCTCCCTGTGTCCCTTCACTGTTGTCCCTACGCCTGTTTTTCAACAGTGAAGAGACACAGGCCGGAAACATCTTGCAGAAAGCACAGCTCCACAACACAGCTCCTTTCAGCAGTTCCAAGAAGGCTCCACACCCATTTCCATCACTCAGGTGACCCTGAGGACACAGACAAACCTCCAAGTGGCCTCAACAGCTCTCTAAAAGGATGCAAATGAACCAGCTGTTTGCAAGGAATATAAATCCTTCCATTCCCCATCATCCAGTCAGAGCTGAAGAAGCTTCTTGGATGAGAAGCGAAACGTCTTCAAAGAAAAACTAGAACGTCCAGTTGCCTCTTGGAAAAAAAAGCACCTTTGGCACACAATCATGACCTGGATACAGAGGTGAAATCTACTTACCTTCCCTACCGGTTCGGAAGTGCGCGCACTCACCATCATCAGGTCCAATTGTAGACCCCCTGCGCATGCACAAAGCCTTCTGCTCATGCTCAGAGGGTCAAAAACAGGTTACTTCCTGGTTAAAACCAGGAAGTAACGACGTCCGGGTGGGTGGGCGGAGCCTCACGCTGCTGTTGCTACCAGTTCACCGAACCACACGCTGCTGCTGCTACAGGTTTGCCTGAACTGGAGCAAACCAGTAATACTTCACCCCTCCCTGGATGTCTGAGAATCTTCATAGATGTTCTGATTTAGCAAATTGTACTTCTCAGAGTGTCTATGGAGATTCTCAGTCATCCAGGTCACGGTTGTCTCAAAGGTGCTTTTTTTTTCCAACTGGATTTTGTTTTTCCTTGAAGACGTTTCACTTCTCATCCAAAAAGCTTCTTCAGTTCTAACTTAGAACAGTTTTAACTCAGAATGGAAGAAGCTTCAGTGGAATGAGAAGCGAAATGTCTTCAAGAAAAAACAAAAGAAAGCCCAGTTGCCTCTTGAAAAGGCACCTTTGAGATTACTTTTGAGAGGTTTATTTGCGGGCCAGCAATTATATTCCACTCCTTCACTCTTCTTTTTTCCTTCCCTTTCCCATCTTGTTTTTGTTTTACTTTCAGGGTGACACTTCAGGGGACTACCGGAAAATCTTGCTCAAGCTGTGTGGCGGGAATGATTAAGTAGAACATCTGGAATTTTAGAGTGTGTCTTTCAAAGTCACAGCTGGCTTTATATTCTCCTTTCTCACAAAGCTGTCAAAACTCCCACTGCTGGATCAGATTGATATTCTTAATATATTCCCTCCTCTAAAGGTGTATAATAAATACAGCACAAAAAAAATATATTAAAAAGTCTGCTATAGTAGATAGAGATATTTTTATTGCATTCTTAGAGAAGCTGTGCAAATATTGCATCTGACAAATGCTCCCTTTAGAGTATGGAAGGATCCTATATAGTTTTGTGTGCAATATTTTGTCTGACTGTATGGACTTTGTTTGATTGTTTGAAATGCATGGAGTGTTAAAAAAAAAAATCTGAATCAAAAGTGCCTGCTCTAAAATGTGATGGTTTTGATTCCCAAAGAATTTTTTAAAAAATTTCATTACTGTTTGAGGGGGAAACACGCATCTGGCTGGTGGCCTGGGAAAAATAATTTTTGCATTCATTGGATTGTCTCCCCTTTACCTTAAAAGAGAAGGGAATTTGGCCAGTGGCAAACTCAGAGCCCAACTTGATGTGTAATCAAAGCATCATTTTGGAGAATGTCGATTAAGGCACAATCATCCAGGCCAAAGGTATCTAAAACGTTGAATCATGACAACTGCATCAAATTTTGTTACTGTATTTTTCGGAGTATAAAATGCTTTGGAATATAAGATGCACATTAGTTTTTGGGAAAGAAAACAAGAAAAAAATTCTGTCTCTGCCTACCAGCATCGATCAGTATTCATCTGGCTAGCAAGCAGCAAACAGCCTGGTCAGCTTCAACACATTATTGAAGCCTGATTCAGCACGAGCAGCTGATTGGCGGTTGGATCGGCCTCCCAGAATACCACCGATCAGCTGTTCCAGGCTGCGGGCATTGCCGCAGCCCATCACCGCCTCCGCGCGTTGCATTTTCAGCCTCCACATGCCCCATTTTTGGCCTCCGTGCATTGCGTTTTCGGCTGGTTCCAGGCAGCGGGGATTGATGGTGGTGGTAATCTCCACCACCTGGAACCGGCTGAAAACATGATGTGCAGAGGCCAAAAATGCAATGCGCGGAAGCAGTGATTGGTGGCGATATGTTGTGGCGATCCCCGCAGCCTAGAACGGGTCTACAATGGAGTGTGCGGAGGCCGAAAATGCGATGCACGGAGGCCGAAAACGATTGAAGGATGGGGGTCGGTGGGTGAGTGCGGCTTTGGCAACATTCGCTGTATACGACGCACAGATATTTCCACCCACGTTTAGGGGGGAAGTGCGTCTTACACACCAAAAAATATGATACTCTGAAAAGTTGCATTGCTCATCCAAGCAACCTGATCAGTCAAAATAAAATTAAAAAATAGTTAGTCAGAGAGCCTAATTATTTTTTTTTAATTTTGACTGATCAAGTTGCTTGGATGAGCAATGAATCAGATGAACAAAGTTTGATGCCGTTGCCATGATTCAACCTTTTAGATACCTCAGCTGGAGAATTCATTGGAGTGTGTCAATGAAGGTTTTTATTCCTGATACTAATTTCAATGACATTGGATGGCATTAATTTTTATTGAGACAATGAAAAGGGGAGAAGAATTAAATCTCTTCCTGCGTGCTATGAAAATTTTCCTATCTTCCGTCCTACTGATCAGGGTTGTGTTGTTGATGTTGTTTTAAAAAAAGAAAAGAAATATTAACAGCACCTTAAGTCTTTGGGAAGCCTTCCAGTTCAATCATTTCTTCTTTGGCTAGGTGCCTTTTCTGGAATGCAGAAACCCCAGTTCATACAACTTCTTTTTCAGGGATATTGATTTGCAAATAATTTGTAATAAGAACCGAGCTGAGTAGCCACATTTAAGATGAGCTGGAGTATTACCCATCCTGCATTTCACAGAAATAGATCCCCCCCTCCAAAATTGATCCCTTGGTTTTAGGGCTCAGCTCTCCTCAATTCCCTATTTCTCTCTTTCTTTATGGATTAACCTGTTTCTTAAATTGTGCTACATTCATTGACCGCTTTCTACAGGTTGTACACGCCAAACCTTTCTCTATTTGTGATCTGAGTTAGTCCTTTAAAACCAAATGTATGTAATCATTTTTTTAAAACACCCACACAGACGTTGTTTAAATAAAATTATCTATCTTCTCAGTTTCTTGCAGCGCTTATTTGGGCCACGTGTCGGGGACATAGATTCTCATGTGACATTACTGTTTTAATAGTGAATTGGATTGCTTCATTTCTTATTGGGGCTAAAGTTAGGGTTATGACCACACTTGGAATTTGGCATCCAGTTTTGGTCGCCACAATATAAACAAGATGTTGAGACGCTGGAAAGAGTGCAGAGAAGAGCAACAAAGTTGACCAGGGGGCTAGAGGCTAAAACATATGAAGAATGGTTGCAGGAGTTGGGTATGCAGTGGTGGGATGCTGCCGGTTTAACAACTGGTTCGGTGAGCCCATTCTTCATACTGAAAATGGAACAGTTAAAAGCTCAGCTGCTTACCTTCCAAGTCAGCAACGGTAAGTAGAACAGTGGGGGGGGGAAATCAGCTGTGCCGCACGATTGAGATGAGCTAGAAAGCAGGAAATAAAGGACAGGATAGGGCGGGGGTGGGTGGGCAGGGCCAGCTGATCGTCAAAGCTACCGGTTTTCCCGAATCGATCCGAACCAGCTGAATTCCACCTCTGGGTATGTCTAGTCTAGTGAAAAGAAGGACTAGGGGACATATGATAGCAGTGTTTGAATATCTCAGGGGCTGCCACAAAGAAGAGGGGGGTCAACCTATTCTCCAAAGTACCAGAAGGCAGGACAAGAAGCAATGAGTGGAAACTTATAGAGAGATCCAACCTAGAACTAAGGAGAAATTTCCTGACAGTGAGCCTTCAGAAGTTGTAGGTGCTCCATCACTGGAGATTTTTAAGAAGAGACTGGACAGCCACAGCCACTTGTCTGAAATGTTATACGGTCTCCTGCTTGAGCAGAGGGTTGGAGTAGAAGACCTCCAAGGTCCCTTCCAAATCTGTTATTCTGTTCTGTATGAGTTGTTTTGGACTGACAGGCATATCATAATAAGAGTTTCCACTTTCCCAATAAATACTGCAGCAGAATTCAGTTTGCCCAAAAGAAATGACCCAGAGATAGAGTGTTCAACAGTGATGGCCATCTGCTTTCTCCTTGCACACTCACTTTTAAAAAGTGAAACTCTGTTGGGACAAACTATTGGAATGCCAGTGGATGTCTCTGCATCCTGCTTTCATCATTCCATCAAATCCAGTTGTTATGAGACACTTACACCCAGAGGCTGCCAACTTTAGTTTTGTCCAACGCTCCATAAATGGAATCCAGAACTTGAGAAAATGCTGCTTTAAGAATCACTCTGTGTAGCTTGTGTTCCAAATTATCTTGGGCTCCTGATTCATGCTGAGTTTGAAAACAGCTTGATCTAATGAAATGTTCCATCTTGTTCAGCCTTTGGCTTCGGTTTCCTACAGAGGCCATCTGGTTGCTTCGGAGAAGAGTATAAACAGCAAGAACAATGTACTTAACAGTGTGTTATGTTCATGTCTTGCACTGATTTTTCCAGCAATGTCATTGACATCTTGCTGGGATTTATTTTGCTTCGGGAACTAAATTAGACCACGCTAACAAATAGTTCTGCATTACTCATTTTTAAACTGTTCTCATCCAGCATGGGAGATGAAAACACAGGCAAACAGGTCTTTCTTTATCTTTGTCTAACAATGATCCTTCCTGTCCCATCATTGGACAAATCAACGTTTTGGAAGAGAGGCATACCAGAGATGCAATCTAGCCCCCTGTGCCAATATTGAGAAAATTCAGGACTTCCAGTGAGTAGGAATTGAAGCAGCTGAGGAATCAACTACTGGAGGAGTGTCCAACCTTGGCCATTTTTAAAGACTTGTGAACTTCAACTCCCAGAATTCCTCAGCCAGACATGCTAGCTGAGGAATTGTGGGAGTTGAAATCCACAAGTCTTAAAATGGCCAAGGTTGGAAAACCCCTGAGTTACGGGACATCAAATATGCCGGTGTGCTTTTCTGCTGAAGCTAGGTGCAGAGCTCTTCAACTCATCAATGAGGAAAGTCCCAAAGCATCCGATTAGCAAGTCCTCCATTGGATTAGGAGCTATGGTGGGCAATCCAAGCTGCAATGGACATTCAATCACGAGTCATTCATTATGGCTCTAGTGGAGATTTCCATCGATGCTGCAAGAAGAAGGGGAACATTTAGCCTCACCCAATACCTTAGACCAGGGGTCAGCAACCTGGGGCTCCGGAGCCAGATTCGGCTCTTTGGGCCCTCTGCTGTGGCTCCCTGTGAGGTGATCCCACCACTGACTGGCCCTGCCCCTTGCCCTCCCCTCCCAGTCACTCCAATGTTGCAGCCTTGTCGTTTCTTTTTCTTTTTGATCAATTTGGGCCAAGAACATTCTAGTTTCTGTGATAGAAGGTTTAGCTTTCTAGAAAAATCCCTTGAAAACAACTTTAACTAGGTCAATCTCAACATTTTCATGTTAGCCTCTGACCTGAATCCAAGACTTTCTTCTGGAGCTCCTTGGTATCTTTTTTCCCCTCTTGCATTTTGAACTAAAGGACGAATTATTTCACCATAATAAAATTCCAGTCTTTGGGAATTTTTCTTTTTTTTTAATTTTCAACTTCCCAATCTAGTTTTATTGGTCTCCTGTTCAAGGGCTAATCAACTCCTACTTCGCTTCATCTACTAGAAAACATTAGCCGGTGCTACTACACCTACGGACACATTTTGTACCGACATGACAAATGTTTACTCAATGCTTCTGTCCATCTCAACATTTTATAGACCACTTTGGTTTTCAGGGTTGATGCAAAAGGCAACTTGAAGTCTGGCTCTTGATGATGTAAAGTTCAGCATCTGGATATTCAGTTCATCGTCTGGAAACTCAACTAGGATCTAGAAAGAGAAAGAGAAGCTGGGTTGATCACTTTTTCAGGGATAGCAAAGACCAAAGACAGTCTAGTCCTTCTGATAACCAAAAGAAAAAGGAAAAAAAAAGATAGGAGTGACTTCTGCAAATTGTTCATCCTTCCCCACCAACTTTGTAAGCAATTCCAAAGTTCAACCACTTTTTGAAGTGGATGTTCAGAGGCCTTTAGCCTTTCTGTTTACTAAAGCCTTTATTTTTTAAAAAAATGTTGTCAAGTCAACTCTTGATGGACACATGGTCACATCTTAAGGATAGTGTAGAAGCGGTTTGAAGTTGTGTTCTTCCAGGGTGTTCTTTTACCTTTTTCATTCTGTCTTATAATGCTAGGACAGGGGTCGGCAACCTTAAACACTTAAAGAACCACAAAGGACCTAACCAGAAGCCCCCCGTTCAATTCTGGAGCCGACCGGAAGTCTGGTTCCCCCACCATAGAATCTCCTCTTAGCGCAGCGTCCTTTTTCCTCTATCTGTTCTAACCGAAAGCCCTATCAATCATGGAGCCAGCCAGCGACAGGGAGCCACAGCAAAGGGATGAAAGAGCCACATGCGGCTCCAGAGCCGCGGGTTGCTGACCCCTGTGCTAGGACATCCTTCTAATCTCCTTTCCAAATATAGGTTGCAATAGCAATAGCCCTTAGACTTATATACTGCTTCACAACCCACTCTAAGTGGTTTACAGAGTCAGCCTATTGCTCCCAACAATCCAGCTCCTCATTTTATCGACTTTGGAAGGATAGAAGGCTGAGTCAATAGCAATAACACTTAGACTTATATATCGCTGCACAATGCTTTACTGTCCTCTCTAAGAGGTTTACAGAGTCAGCCTCTTGCCCCCAACAATCTGGGTCCTCATTTTACCCACCTCGGAAGGATGGAAGGCTGAATCAATAACAATAGCAATAGCACTTAGACTTATATACTGCTTCACAATACTTCACAGGCCTCTCTAAGTAGTTTACAGAGTCAGCCTCTTGCCCCCAACAATCTGGGTCCTCGTTTTACTGACCTCAGAAGGATGCAAGGCTGAGTCAACCTTGACTCAGGATTGAGGGAATCAAACTCCTGGCAATGTGAGCAGAGTTAGCCTGCAATATTGCATTCTAATCACTGCACCATCACAACTCTTTGATGTTTAAGATGTTACCCAATGGGTCCAAAGTCAGCTATCTATTCATCAAAAGACATTTGATTCATGGAACGAAGAAACAATTCTTATGTTCCCATCCCTGTATCTAATGGTGCCAGGATATTCCTATCTGCATTTAGCTTAAGGTTGATGTACTTAAATGTTGTGAGCATCCCTCTTTCATCTTACATGATTCTCTTCCACATTCTGCAGCCTTCTTGGCTTCGGTTTAATCTCCAAGGAAGACACTGAGGGACACATAGCATGGACTTACCATGTTTCCCTGAAAATAAAACCCTGTCTTATATTTTTTGAACCCCGAAATAAGCACTTGGCCTTATTTTCAGGGAGGTCTTATTATTTTGGGGCGCGTGGAGCAAGACAGGGCTCCTCTTGCCATCTTACCTGATTTCCAGTTCTGTCTCCCTAAACCTAACCAGAAGAAATGGCGGGGACCGGCTGCATATGCATTTATATATTTTCAGGGAGGGCTTATTTTCGGTGGGGCTTATTTTAGTGCATGCGCTCAAAAGTCTGATTGGCCTTATTATCCGGGAAGGTCTTCTTTTCGGGAAAACACGATAGCATTCCATTCTTGCAAGGTTATACTTGAAATGTGAGCTAAATGAAAGAAGGTAAATCCAGGTTTATGGAGATTCTCAGTCATCTGGGTCAGGGTTGTCCCAAAGGTGCTTTTCGAAAAGGCATCTGGACTTTGTTTTGTCCTTGAAGATGTTTTGTTTGTCATCCAAGAAGCTTCTTCTGTACTGAAGTGAAAAAGCTTCAACTTGTAGAAGGTTCAATGAACTGAAGAAGCTTCTTGGATGAGAAGCGAAACATTTTCTTCTTTTTTTAAAAAAATATTTTTTTTATTTTAAACACAAATAATGCAAACATAGTGCATATCAGTGGTGGGTTCCTCTTGGTTCGGTCCGGTTCGGCCGAGCCGGTAGCAGTGACGATATGATGTCACCAAACCAGTTCTCCCCCCCACCCCCCACGTTATTCTTACCTTTTATTTGGTCCCACCCCCAATCTATTGCTGCCTCCTGAGTCCCAGCTGATGACTAGAGGGAAAAAAACTGTTTAAACTCTTGCCGTGGGCTTCAAAGGGCCGTCCTACAGCTGATCAGTGTTAAAAGCAAACCAATGAGTCGGGTCGTAAGTGCGAGGACTGATCGTAAGTGCGAGGACCTTCCAGAAATGACTCTGAGAGCTAGCCACGCCCACCTAGTCACATGACCTCTAAGCCACACTCACAAAATAAGCCACGCCCACAGAACCGGTAGTAAAAAAATTTAGAACCCCTCCCTGGTGCATATATCTCTAAATAAAAAAAAGGGGGGAATACAAATATTACAGTGCAGCCCCACCCCTGGAGACCATTTTTCCCCTTATATTTCTTCTTCTACAACAACTAAAGGATATACAATACATTCCAATTGTGCCCTTATCCCCTCCAAAACAACATACATTCTTGAGTAGGTTTATTCCCTTTGCTTTCCACCAACACTGATTTTATAAAATCCCCCCAAATTTCATTATAATTGTATCATTTGTTGCCATACTCCAAATTTCATTATACCACTCATTTCTTTGAATATCCCAATTTTGTCCCCAATATTTAGCCATCACTAATCTAGCTGCCATTATCAAATTTATAATCAATTCTTTTTTTGTTTCATTTATATCCCGTTTTTCCACCAACAACAGTAATGCAATTCTCAGTAACTTGTCTAAATTTACATTCAAAAGTGCTCTAATTTCTCTAAACACCATGTCCTATATTTTTTGTGCACTATCACAATCCCACTACATATGTTTATATGTTCCAAGTTCTAGAAGTGAAACATTTTCAAGGAGAAAGAAAGTCCACTTGCTTTTTGGAAAGCACCTCTGGGTAAACCCATGTTAGTTTGCCAGTGCAACAGTACTACAAAACCTGTATTTCAAGTCCCTCCTACATGGCTCCTCAACACAGTGGTGGAATCTTTCCAGAGGGCTTGTTCAGTAACAAGGCTCCTAAAAGGAGAAGAGTCCTGCCTTCAAAACAACTGGAAAACTTCTGAGAACTCAAACACCCCATTTCTCTACTCATTGATTGGGTGGTGTCATTCAACAAGCTCGGCTTTCTTCTTACCTCCAAAGAGATCTACCAATGGCGTCCCAGGAGCAAGTGGCTTGGTCCACGCAGTTTCACTAACATCGTTGAGCAGTGACTTGACTTCGGAGTCCAAATGATCAACTGTTTTTTCCAGGTGCTGATGGAAGGAGAGAAGAAATTGGGCGGGGGCTTATTGGTCTTGTTAATGCAAGCTTAAGACCCCTGTAACTCATCCACCCAATACGCTAAGGTTAGGGGTAACCTTCATGGCTTAAAGTGTTGTGGAAACCCAACCTTTTCGGTTAGCCTCTAATTCAATTTCTTGGGCAAACTGTGTTGGTTAATTCATGAACCAGGTTAAGAAAGTTATATAAATAGAGCCAAAAAGCCCCTGTTAATTGCATATCATAGGAAAATGAGAACGAAAGAATGCTGAATTTTTTTGACAGAGGTTGCTTTTGTCAACAGATCACTGATGTTGGGAGCAAGTCTGGCTCAAGACCACACAATCTCCAAGCTGTGGTCTGTAGCAAATGCCTCTTTTTCTATTCAAGCAATTTATCAAGGGGAATAGTCAGAGATGCCAGAATAAGAATTGCTCTTGTGCAAGAATCTACTTGAGGTTTGTACAAGAAGGTCTTAAATCCAGGACTAATGCATCCATTGCAACACTGGATGATGTGTGCCTTGGAATCAATGTACTGTGGCTTAATTCTGAATGGAAAGGGAACATTCTTCTTAACCATTAGCTCATTAGTGGATTTCCATCGAAGTGTAAATCACATGATGTGACCTTGCTCAACTTCTTTCACAATTGCTCAGGGTCAACTAGGAGTCACCATCTGAGGTGGACAACACGTGCAGTTTGTTTCTAATACTTTTGACCACTGATCGTATAATTCATTTTTGTCTATTTCATCAGCAGGTCTCCAGTCTTTAAGATAAAGGTGATATTTCTAAATTTGCTACTCCTTCCTTCCTTCCTTCCTTCCTTCCTTCCTTCCTTCCTTCCTTCCCTTCCTTCCTCCTTCCTTCCTTCCTTCCTTCCTTCCCTCTCCTCCTTCCTTCCTTCCTTCCTCTCTCCCTCCACCCTCCTTCCCTCTCCATCTTTTTCCTTCTTTCCTTCCTCTCTCCCTCCTTCCTTCCCTCTATGCCTTTTTTCTACCTTTCTTCTTCCCCCTTCCTCCCTCTCTCCTTCCCTCCCTCTCCATCTGTCTTTTCCTTCCTCTGTCCCACCCTCTCTCCTTCTCCATCTGTCTTTTCCCTTCCTTCCTTCCTTCCTTCCTTCCTTCCTTCCTTCCTTCCTTCCCTTCCCTTCCCTTCCCTTCCCTTCCCAAAACCTTTTCAACAGATCACTTCCCTCTCTCTGGAAGTTGAAGTTCACACAGTTTAAGGTTTCTGAGGTTGAGAAATACTGCTCTAGACCCTCTGGTTTTATTTTGTATTTCCTGCAACCCAATTCCAGAACTCTGAGCTTCAGTTTCCCCCTTGGAGTTAGGACCATCCTTTGCAGGGAAGTGGTGATAGGTATCCTGCATTTTGTTCCATCGCATCTTCTCTTGCACTTACCTCTTGGATAGTATCCAAGCGCTTGTGGATGGTGCTGGGGTTATCACACCAGTCATCTTGCTCTGAGGTTCCTTGATGGTCAGCAGCAGGATCAGCAGTGACTAGAAAAGGAGAAAAGCAAATGATCTCACAGCTTTAAAACTCTAGGGCAGGGGTGTCAAACTCGATTTCATTTAGGGCTGCATCAGGGTTGTATTTGATCTTGGGGGATGGGGTGGAGTGAGTGTGGCCAGATCAACATCACTCCTGTCGGGGGGGCACCTGTGGTGGTCTGAGTGCTCTGTCACAGAAAACGGGCTGCTGGCGGCCTCCTGTAACCCTCTGTCAGCAAAAATGGAGCTCATGGCCCTCCCACGGTCCGTTTTCACCAGCAGAGGCCCCATGGGCCAGTCCTTCACTGTTTCCAGGGTGGCCCCGCAGGCCAGATCTAAGCACCCCGTGGGCCAGATCTGGCTCCCGGGCCTTGAGTTTGACAACCCTGCTCTAGGGGAATCTTTTCACAGTTGGGTTCATCCATAGTTCCCCTTTCCTGTCCTTCTTGTTGTTTTTGCTTGGGTTGTTTTGGTTTTTCTGGTGCTCTCAAGTCAGTGTTGACTCAGGGTCACTGCCTGGATAAGTCCCTGTGGCTTTCTTGGCAATATTTCAGAAGCGGTGTGACATTGACTTCTTCTTCCTAGGATTGAGAGAGGTTCCTCCGTTGGCTTTGTGCTGGCTGAGGGGCTAGAACTCATGGTCCTGCAGTTTCTAGCCTGATTCCTTTAACCACTACATCAAACTCACTCTCTTGTTTTTATTAATTTGAGATTAACCAGTCAGATGCAGATCAGGATCACAGTTTCTAAGCAGAAGTTTAAATCTCCCTCCCCAACTATTTCTCTGGAGATTAAAAAGATCTCTGAAGACTAAAGAACGGTTGCAGGATTTGGGTTTGGCCAGTCAAGAGAAAAGAAGGACTAGGGGGCACATGATAAGAGCCGAGGTGGCGCAGTGGTTACACTGCAGTACTGCAGGCTATTTCAGCTGACTACTAGCTGCAGTTCAGCAGTTCGGATCTCACTGGCTCAAGGTTGACTCAGCCTTCCATCCTTCTGAGGTGGGTAAAATGAGGACCCAGATTGTTGGGGCCAATAGGCTGACTCTATAAACCACTTAGAGAGGGCTGAAAAAGCACTATGAAGCGGTATATAAGTCTAAGTTCTATTGCTATTGCTATCATAGCACTATTCCAGTATTTGTGGGGCTGCCACAAAGAAGAAGGGTGTCAACCTATCCTTCAAAGCCACCTGGAGGCAGGACAAGAACCAATGGATGGAAACTAATCAAGGAGAGAAGCAACCTGGAATTAAGGAGAAACTTCCTAACAGTGAGGACAACCAGTGGAACAACTTGCTTCCAGAAGTTGTGGATGCTCCATCACTGGAAGTTTTTAAGAAGAGGCTGGATAGTCACTTTTCTGAAATGCTATAGGGCCTCCTGCTTGAGCAGGGGGCTGGACTAGAAGACCTCCAAGGTCCCTTCCAGCTCTATTCTGATTGATTGACTTTCTGCCACTCTTTTAGCTCATTTCCTCTGTCCTAGTAATCACCTAGGAAGTGGTCTAGATCTTTTATGAAGCTAATCTTGATCTGTATAGCAGTTTGGCATACTTGCAAATAAATAAAAATAAATTGGTTAGATCTATACTTCATTTTCAAATAACATGACATTTGACTGTGTCTTACATAGGGCTCAGCAGCTGGCAACATATGTACAATGGTGAAGAAACTAAGAAGGTTTATGCTTGGTTAGGACTTAGATTTTCTAGGCTTACTAGGAAATCTCATGGCTGTACGAAGAGCCGAGGTGGAGGGTAGTTAGAGTGCAGTACTGCAGGCTACTTCAGCTGACTGCTAGCTGCAGTTCAGCAGTTCAAATCTCACTGGCTCAAGGTTGACTCAGTCTTCCATCCTTCCAAGGTGGGTAAAATGAGGACCCAGATTGTTGGGGGCAATATGCTGATTCTGTAATCCACTTAGAGAGGGCTGTAATAGCACTATGAAGCAGTATATAAGTCTAAGTGCTATTACTGTACAGATTGAGTATTCTTTAAAAGACTGGGCTTTGAGTATTTTTTAAAAGACTGCGTTTCTTTTAAAAAGTTATAGCTCATTGGAAAAGATCTGATGTTGGGAAAGATAGAAGGCAAAAAGAAAAGGGGACAACAGAGGATGAGATGGTTAGATAATGTCATTGATGTGGTGGCCATGAGTTTGGGCAAACTCTGGGAGATAGTGGAAGACAGATGAATCTGACATTGCTATGGTCCATGGGGTCGTGAAGAATCAGACACGACTTAGCAACTGAATATCAAAAATAGCTATATCATTCTGAATTTTGTCACAGAAGATTACACAGGCACTTCTGAGAGATCACCAGGAGACAGCATAACTTTGGGAGATTGTGATTTGCTTTAAATACAGATCAATCTAATTTCAGGCTTCAGCATCTATAAAGGAAGGTGGTCAAAATCCATGCTTTGAACCCTGGAAAGGTGCTCCAGTCCTGGTCAGCAGCTCCAGATTAGATGAGAATTGAGTAGCTCCATCAGTCTTCCTGAACCTGATGTCTTCTGATGTGTTAACTACAGTACATTTGCCAAGGTCCCTCTCCAATGATGATAAAGCCATATCCACTAATGATGAAGCCCCAACTCATTTAGAATTAGAATCAGAGTTGGAAGGGACCTTGGAGGTCTTCTAATCCAACTCCCTTTTCAGACAAGAAACTCTATATCATTTCAGACAAATGGTTGTCCAATCTCTTCTTTAAAACATCCAGTGTTGAAACATTCACAACTTCTGGAGGCAAGTTGTTCCATTGATTAATTGTCCTCACTGTTAGGAAGTTTCTCCTTAATTCCAGGTTGCTTCTCTCCTTGATTAATTTCCATCCATTACCTCTTGTCCTGCCCTCAGGTGCTTTGGAGAATAGTCTGACTCCCTCTTCTTTGTGGAAACCCCTAAGATATTGAACACTGCTATCATGTCACCCCTAGTCCTTCTTTTCATTAAACTAGACATTCCCAATTCCAGCAACCGTTCTTCATATGTTTAGCCTCCAGTCCCCTTTGCTGTTCTTCTCTGCACTCTTTCTAGAGTCTCCACATCTTTTTTACATCGTGGTGACCAAAACTGGATGCCGTATTCCAAGTGTGGCTTAAGCTAATGAACCCTAGCTTGGAAACGTCCCAAATTCCATCAGTCCTTTTTTAAAGTTGAAAATACTACTTCCTTTGTTTTCTTCTGAACAGGTCCTTTCTCTCCTTTTTTTTTTTTTCAAAGTTTTGCCCTTGCCTCTTAAAGGCAGAATAAGTTCCCCACCAAGGATGAATAATGAGCTGTGATTAAAAAGCAAGGAAAGCACTCTCTTCTAATTCCTTGGATGTCCATCAAAGCCCTAAATCTGGTTTATCGTTGAGTCCCCACCCACTTAAGAATGAGAAGGACAGACCAAAACTATGTCCGTTTTGCTGGTTTCAACATCAGGGAATTGGGCTCAAAGGGGGTTGAAAACTATTCTCCACACACCCAAGGCATGAAATGAAAGAGAAGAGACTTTCAACAAAGTCTTTCCTGAAAATGAAAGAAACCACTTTATGAAGGTCCCCCCTCCTCCGTGATATTGTTATAAAATAAAAGCAAGTTCGATGATTGTAAAAAGCATAGATTGCCAAACTTATAACTTGGCACTGGGTTTATAGCTTCTCATATTCAGCCCTCAGGGTGACTACAGGGCATGTCTACGTTATTTTTTTTCTTGGCAACAACATCCGCTTGACTTGCCATGACTTTCTTCTGTGTTGTTCCTCCAGCTTCCCAGACTCGGGTTTTGAGACTGCCTGGTTAGACCTGGCTTAGCTTTTTTAGTTAAGAAAACTAAGATCATGGTTCCCGGCCCTCTCAATTCCTGGTAAATAGATGAGGAAGAAATGGAGGTAGTGACAGATTTTATTTTCCTGGGCTCCAAGATCACTGCAGATGGGGACTACAGCCAAGAAATTAAAAGACGCTCCTGGGGAGGAAAGCTATGGCAAAGTTAGACAGCATACTAAAAAGCAGAGACATCACCCTGCCAACAAAAGTGCATACAGTCAAAGCTATGGTTTTCCCAGTTGCAATGTATGGTTGTGAAAGTTGTACCATAAGGAGCATCCTTATGAGGTTCTGAGCATCAAAGAATTGAGGCCCTTTGAACAAGGGACTCGCTGGAGAAGACTCCTGCGAGTCCCTTGGACTGCAAGGTGCTCAAACTGGTCAGTCCTAGAGGAGATCAACCCTGACTGCTCTTTAGAAGGCCAGATCCTGAAGATGAAACTCAAATACTTTGGCCACCTAATGAGAAGGAAGAGCCTAATGCTGGGAATGATTGAGGGAAAAAGAAGAGAAGAGAATGAGGTGGCTGGATGGAGTCACTGAAGCAGTCGGTGTGAGCTTAAATGGATTCCAGAGGATAGTAGAGGACAGGAAAGCCTGGAGAAAAGTTGTCCGTGGGGTCGCGATGGGTCAGACACAACTTCGCAACTAACAACAACAACAAGCTTTTTTAGAATCTGCCAAACTGATTAGGTTTGATCATCTTCTCTGGTACAAGTCCAACATCAAGCTGGGTTGCAGAGGCTAGTTTTCCAAGTGTGAAACAAGACCTAATTGCAAAGAGATGCTCTATTCAGATGCCGATGTGCTCTAAGATAAGTCAGCCTAGGCTGAAAGAGGAAGACAAATTCTTTGGCAGTAGAAATGGATGGAGGAAAAGGTAAATTGCATTTTGCTTTCCTTGGTTTCCGGAATTAACCTTCAAACTACGTAATAATTAACCTGAGTTATGGCCAACAAGAGAAAACTTTCCTGCTAGGGGAATACAAAAAAAGAGAGAATTCAGTACAAGCGAAATAATTTTTTCCACATGAGATCCCAACATCTGCTTGGAATTTCATGGGCCACTGAGAAAACACCGAGCCAATTTCAATCCTTACTCGGCACACCCTCCTAACTTCACCGTGATTTCTTATTATTTTTAAAATGCCTCTTGGTTCTGCTGAGAAAACAGAGTGAAAATTCAAAAT